GTCTGGGTCCCAGAAACACTTTTTTTATTTATGAACGGATCACTTAGAAATTTGGTACACATATGTAAAACATAATTCTACGACTTTTTTGTTAGTGTACATTTTTAGAAGAAGATGAAAGAAAACGTGAAATTCTTAGAAAACGGTCAGAAAGGGGGTACTGTAGAAAACTACTCCTAGGATTTTCAATTTCAAGCTACAACATTGAGACTCGTATCATTCGATGCGTAAGGACCATATCTATCGATTCGTCGTAGTTTTTTTTTTAAATTTGAATTTTTGCGGGTGTGTAATTCGTAAAATTTTAGATTTCCCTTCCTCCCCTTTTTTTCAAAACTATAACGAAATTGAAAAAAAAAGCTACGACCAATCTCTAGATCTTTTATTTGCAAATCGAATGGTATATCTCATTGCTGTAGCTTCAAAACTTGAAGGAGATTGTTTTCCAGTGACAATAAGTGTTATTGTTCAGTTGAGCCCGACAAAGTCCCGGGCGCCTCGAAATCGGCGTTCAAGGTTGCAAGGATGCTAGACCAGACAATACTGGAGCTAAATCTCTGTCAAGGATGGTGGAACGACAGAGCGCTACCCATTCCTCACGACTGTTGAAGGGTTACTGGATCGGAAAGTGTGAAGACTAGCTATTTAAGGTGCACTGAGGCATTTACTCCCAATGTTAAATGTTGAAGAACTCCACCAACCCTTGCCCTTTCGCGATACATCGTGAAAGCATAAATCAACGTACAGAGATGATTTTGGTACCGTTGGATAGGTCAGAATGTCAGCTTTAAAATGAGACTAAAAACCGGAAAAGCCAAATTTGTCGATTTTGGGCCCAGACGCTCCCCTTAAGTATATTTTATGTGAGTGACAGTGCGATCGTTTGAAAGCTATGGACTGGTCTTTGAACGATCAATCAAGACTAAGGCATCGGCAACAAATAAATTCGATGGTGCAATTTCAGCGGGCAAATATCGTGATTGAAGCGCACGGCAATAATTGGTCTATGCATACATTCTCACAAATTATACCTACAACAGATTGGTAATTTCCTATCCTGCATGAGCCTCGTTCGTGTTCCAGCGAAGCTCATTCCCATCCCTCGAAAAAATTTAGTTAGCAAAGGTTGGCAAAATTTGTTCCTTTGAGCAGGTTTCATTGAAGACCTGAGAATTTGTTTTATTGTCAATTTTCTTATGAGTTTTTTTTTCCAATATATCGAATAATATTTTTAGTTTACACTGGTAAATCGAAAATCAGGGTAGCGATAGACATTTTTATTTCGCTAACGACGTTTCAAACGTACCAATCATTCATTATCAAGTTACAAGACGCATTGCGCGTAGTGAAATCTGGATCAACATAAGTATAAAATTATGTAATAGGATACCACTCGCAAATCAGAATTTGGTTAAGTATAACTCACAAACCACAAAAATATGAAGATGATTTGAAGTTAAAGCGCCAAAAATTACTCCGAAAAAAGTCTTAAGGTTTTGAAAAATCCACTAATTTACCACTGCAAACTAAAAACATATTGTCCAATATATTAAAAAAAACTAATGAGAAAATTGTAAATAAAACAAATCATCTCGTCCTTAATGAAACCTGCTAAAAAAATAATTATGTACCACGAAAGGAACTAAGGCAATGAGAACTAAGTACAACTTCAACCATGCGTCTGGAGCCGTTGACGTGTCGGTGTGCCTCACCACAACTGTCCTCGGAGCCGTTGTCTGACTTGATACGCCTCACTTACGAGCTCGGCTCCGTCTGATGAACTTTTCCAACATCCAACAATCAAAGATCATTATTGTAATTGGAATAATCAATCATTTATGTTCTAATACTAATATTGGGTCAGTTGGAGTTGCCTCAGGAAGATGTGAACAGACAAGTGGAGAGAGCTTGGTCGCTTACTTTCCACCTCGACATCCCAGGAGCGCTCTCCTGAGGGCGCACTCGTATAGCGACCTAAGTATACGTAGCGACCTAAGTACACGTAGCGACCTAAGTACACGTAGCGACCTAAGTACACGTAGCGACCTAAGTACACGTAGCGACCTAAGTACACGTAGCTTGGAGGAGCCTTCACTATCGATGCTGGAGGAGCCTTCACTATCGATGTTGGAGGTGCCTTCACTATCGCTGCTCTTATCTCTCCACTAAGATGACTTTCCCTTGCAGGCGCGTATGAGAACAGCACAGTCACCCCTGCTGACGAGGAGGTTACTGATCGTCCAGAAGACGTGGTCTTCCTCCCCTCCGTGCTCTGCGATCCTCCTGACGACGTCGATGACGAAGGCAACCTGGAAGCAGGACTCTTGTGGAGGAAGGTCGGCCCCGGCAGACCGGCTACAGGCCGCTCCAAGTGGAAGTCCATGGAGGCCTGCGCCCCCGGCAGCGACGCCGGCACCAGCATCTTCGGCCTCGCCAGCGACACCCTGAAGGTGGAGCTGCCCGTCGTAGCGTCCCCTCGTAGCCACAGTCCGCCACATCGCTGCAGCTTCTGCCACAAATGTTTCTCTAACCGTGGCTCACTGACACGCCACACTCGGGACCAGCACTTGGAGCCACACAACACCGTCATGTGTGACGTGTGTGGCAAGGTCTGCAAGAACAAGAACTGCCTCATCACCCACCGCTCGGTAGCGCACAACCGCACCAAGAGACTCACCTCCAGCGGGTACCTGCCTGTCCAAGCCCCGCTCCCGCCGCCGTCTTCTGGACAGGATTTCCAGGACACATTAGGACAGGTCGACGTCACACAGGCCTTTGCTGACGACCCCCTACTGCTGGGGGGTCCTGCTGTGGAAGTAGCCGTGGCTCAGGCCTTCGCTGGAGATCCTCTACTGGTGGAGGGGGGGCAGCTGTAGGGGGAGACATGAAGCAGCATGTAGGGGGAGACATCTGTGCTCGTGGGAGACATGAAGCCAAACATATTTTTACCTCCCCCTCCTCCCCCTCCGGTTAAATAAACCGTCCTCCTCACACTCTACAAGCACCCACCTCATCACCTCCTGCAGACACCCACCTCATCACCCCCTACAAGCACCCACCTCATCACCCCCTGCAGGCACCCACATGTCCGATGGTGCAGGTCTCATTCCTTCACTAACTCTCGCTGCAATATTCCAACGAACGTCGCTACTTCATTAGACTTGATGTACATTGTCGAGTGCAACTTCCTGAGTACAGCTGCTGTGTACGGTACCACTGTACAGCTGCTGTGCAAGTTAGTTTTAATAATTGTATATGTGTATACGTATAATATAAATGTACATGTGTAAATGAAATAGGTGTTTATGTGTATATAATGAGCACATCTTGGTTACGTTTCTTTGAGCACATCTTGGTTACGTTACTTAGAGGACATCGTGGTTACGTTACTTTGAGCGCATCTTGGTTACGTTACTTTGAGCACATCTTGGTTACGTTACTTTGAGCACATCTTGGTTACTTCTGTCTCTTATACACATCTAGATGTGTATACAGCTGCCTTGCCTGTACCGCAGCTGGCGCATGAACACAGCCAGCTGCCTTGCCTGTACCGCAGCTGGCGCAGGAACACAGCCAGCTGCCCAGAACCTATCATGCTACGCTGTTCTTACAGCTGGTGTTGTGACAATGCCGACTATATCTTCCTGTAGTATAGGTACTCGTATTACAAAATCTGAGAAAGTGAATGCGTCATATTCAAGAGCAGCTCCCTGTAACACCTTCCTCCTCCTCCACCAGGCGCTACAGCTGGCACACTGAAGGGGAGCTGTTCGGCCTGCTGCCCCCCACCTCAGGCCCCTCGCAGCAGCAGCGCTTGGGTGCTGGGGTTGAGGACTACGACGTGACGCAGCTCGAGATCCTCGGCGACGGCGTCGTCAGCGATGCAAAAGGCGCCGCCCAACACAACATCAGGGGCAAGATCACCGCCACGGAGCCCTAGGAACGACCAAACAAGGGGCGCCGCCCCTCATCGTCAGGGGCACCGCTCCTCACAACCTTCAGGGCAAGATTGAAGGCACAAAGGACAGTGCCCGGCACAGCGTCAGGAGCACTAAGGATCACACAAAGGGCGCCGCGTCCGTGGAGCGCGTTTGGACCAAATATATCAAGACCCATAAATGACTGAAGTAATTTTGTTCTGTCCTAGACAATTAATTCTAATGCATGTGATAACCTCGATTAGCAAATAAGCCATAGATTTTTACGCGCATTTAGCGATAATTAGTCTATAATTGTAGGTAGTGTGGTGAGGCTAGCTGAGGAACACGAGCAGATTGTGGGTAGTCTACGCTGCGACACTCCGTACATTTTGTAGCGTAGCTCACTACAATCGACGTAAATTAGTAATGTTCTCACGTTAATCTTACTTTTTACAACACTTCTCTTTAACTGCACTTGTTGTTTGTCTGCTACAAATCTTATAATCGATATTTAACACACTTCTACCTCTCCAATCCATCTGAAATTTCGCAAACTTGCATTATAAAAGAAATTCATTGTACATGTGTAACGTTTGAGACATTGGCCTTTTTAGAAGTGTCGTCTTCTAATAGTAATTTTTAATCGCATATTATTAATACTGCTGACGGCCACAATGGACGAAAATATAGAGGTTTTATTTTGATAATTTTGTTTGGCTGGAGTCCATCGGTCAAGAGCCAGTGTTGACTTGTTGCTCTGCCTCCACATATGATCACATTCCTTGACCTTTAACACCACACGAAATATGTGAACAAGTTGCAGTCGCGATTACACTTGCTGTCTGGCAGTTTTCTCGTCGCCGTATATTTTACGAGGGAGCTTAGGTATTGCTGGCTTGTAATTCGTCTGAAATAAATATCATCACTGAGCTAGTACGATCAAGTCTCATTAAGCTAGACCGATCAGGTCTCATTAAGCTAGACCGATCAGGTCTCATTAAGCTTGTACAATCAGGTCTCATTAAGCAATTGCGCTAACGCGCAAACCCCAATCAATCTCGGTTCAATCAAACACGCATAAAAATGGGCTATAAAACTTTTTAAAACCTTACATATTTCCGATATCATTATTCAGAGTATTAAAAGGCTTATGGAATGTCAATGTCTATCAAACATATCAAAGAATTCAGACCATCAAATGAGGAATACTAGAGAATCCATGCATGAAGACTGACGATTTTACACAAATGAAGGAAATTAGTTGGTAAATATAGCACATAAAAATTGAGATCACTGCATTTTTCCTCATACGATGCAACAACAGCAATCAAAGCGATCACAGCGGATCAATGAACTGCCTCAATTTTCACTCGAGATTTCAAGGCTCCTTAGTCGAGATCAACGCTAAAGAATTGCAACGTAAACTACAATTTCCAACATCCCTGCGTTAGGAGGACTATTCTCTTAATAAACCATGAAGGTACACGTCTTGGATAAATAACGGCAAGCATAAATAACGTTATGCATGTCAACACAACCACTGAATGATAACAGGATTAATTAATAAGCTTTATAAGTTAGTTACTTAGTATAACTTACCACTATATTATTTGGTACACAGGGAAATAAGATGATTTACATTTGGAGAGGACGAAAAAATATGCCCAGTTTTCGGCAATTTTTACACACAAAATAAAATTCAGGATGCCGACGCAGTCGAAGAAGGCGGACAAAGGACGCAGCTGTTGAGCTCAGATGAAGACCTGCTCGCTGGCGAGGTTTTCAGCGAAGGGCACGACGAAGTAGGACGTCGCGAAGTAGAAGATGAGCCCGAATGTGATGGAGATGGGGAGGGCGGGGAGCGCCTTCTTGAATATTGCCAGCATGATGAGCGTGAGGCACAGCCCCTGCAGGAGGGAGGGGGGTTATGTCAGCACTCGTATCTCACTCCCCAGGCACTCGGCACTCCTCACTCCCCAAGCATTCAGCACTCACTCTTCATTCCTCAGGCACTCATCACCCATTCCTCAGGCTCCCCACACTCCCCACGACTCACAATGAGTATGGCGATGAAGCAGGCTATTGTGGTGTTCCAGTCCCCGTAGGAGGAAGCTTTCCCCACCAGCACCGAGTAGAAGATGAAGTCCCCGAGCCCCAGCTTCACCCCGCCTGCACGAGATTAAGTTTCCTTTTATCCCGCCTTCAAATACGCATCGCTAATTTAGACAATTTTATCAATATTTATTCTGCTTGATGACAAAATCAAGCAAAAGAATTCAATTAAATGACAATAATTCCTTTATTGTCATAAAAATGCAGGCAGTGTAAATTTTACTGAAATCAAGCTGCAGCTAACGAGGCATAAGTCGCCACTCAGTACCTACTGGTGTTAGCAGTGGCCACTCAGCAGTATTAATACTCGGTATTAATCAAATCGTATAATACTCGTATTAATAAAATCTTATAATAGGTACTCGTATTAATAAAATCGTGTAATACTCGTATTAATAAAATCGTATACTACTCATCACGAATACTATGATCTACAGGGTTGGATTATGACACAATGACAACGAAAGCTGTAGCGATCGGCCAAGAAAGTTGTGGTTTAGTTTGGTTTATAAAAGTTTCTATTGGAATAATCCTCATCAAAGTAGCAACTCAAGTGCTGTGGCGACATAAGCGCTATGGCGACTTTATTGTCATGCATAACTCACGCTCCTCCTCATCCTCCTCCTCCTGGGGCTGCTGTGCCCCGCCACCTCCTGCCACGTCAGGAGCTGACGCCTCCCCATGCTCCGCCACCCGCCGCTGCCTCGCCGCCTCACGCTGCTGCCTCCCCGCCTCCCACTCGGGCCCGAAGCCTGCCTCAGCCTCGCTGCTGCGCCTCCTCCTGCTGCTGCTGGGGGCCGTGCTGATGGTGGGGCGGCCCACGCCCCCAGCAGGAGCAGGGGCATGGTGGTCCTGGGGTAGAACAGGGAACTTTATAAACAACTGCTTCATGATAAGTGTCAGCAGATAATGACAGTGTCAGCAGATAATGACAGTGTCAGCAGATAATGACAGTGTCAGCAGATAATGACAGTGTCAGCAGATAATGACAGTGTCAGTGTTTTATCGCACATTGTTTGCTGTTGATTTAGAAGCACAAATGTCGGTTGGAACGCAGTATTTATTAAAAAAACACAAAGAAACAAGTTAAAAATATATAAACAAGCGTAATAGACTGATGAACAATTAGCAGTTTTTACAAAGATTTTAGAGCACAGCGAAAAAAATCTACCGTATCCTGGATATCACCCACACCCCCGGATGTCACCCGCCCCCCCGGATGTCACCCACACCTCCGGATGTCACCCACGCCCCCGGATGTCACCCACACCCCCGGATGTCACCCACGCCCCCACCTGCTGCAGGGGGTCGGCCACAGCCTCGCCGCCGTCGTGGCTGCCGCCGCTGCACAACAGAGAATGAGATGCAATTTTCTGTACGTAGTTATTTAGTCTTGAACATAACGAATAATTCCGTCAATGATTGTTTCAGTAACGCAAAGTTACACAATAGAGGATTAGATCTAACTTTCTTTGCGTTACTTAGCTACTTATTAAATTCAATTATATTTATTAATTCAGTCAATAATTGTTCTAAATAAGTGATTAGGAGCTCTTTCCTTACATAATATTTTAACCATTGTTTCAATAAATGGGTTAAGTTTTTGACGAATAAGAATAAAGAATCCATGAACAATTAATACTCATGGATGTACAGCGGGGAGTGTGTCAACGGACTGTGTTGGACGATGTATATTGTACACAGAGATGCATTAAGTGAGATTTTCACTAGTGGGTATCTGTAAAAGAGTGTGTTGAGTGGTGTACAAAGGTGTGTATTAGGGTCATGATAGAAGGGGCGTTGAAGAGAGTAAGAATGTGTCTATTATACAGTATAACCTCGCATTACGAAAGTCCTGCCTCACGACCAAAGCACCTTACAAACGGTCGGAATAAATGTGTTATGATTTACGACCCCAGGGCACTGCTTAAGGGCAGGCAATTGGCATGACCAGTAAACCTGCGCTCGGCATGCGGGTTGTCGAGTTGGCCAAGGATTAAAGCCGAGATAAAAATAAGATATGCACTATCTTGGGTCAGAGAGATGACATTTAAGGCGCCTTAAAACAAAAAAGTATTATTTTTCACCCAGTTAGGAGTACGATATATAATACATAACAGGTGACTTTGGAGAGGCACTGACACAGATCTGAGTCTTCTCCATTAATTTTAATGGAAAAAATAGGCTTGCTTTATGAAGCAGCTACTAAACATAACGATTTGATGCACAAATAGGGTGGGGTTGTACTGTATTGAGAATATTTAAATGACCTAATACACGAGTATTGAGGAGTGTGGTAAGGTGCGTATGAGTTGGTAACGGGGTTTGTTAAAGTTTGTTTTAAGGAAGGATTTCTCCTGACACTCAAGAGGCCTCCTTGTCCACCATGACTCACTTGTCGGTGGTGGAGGTGGAGGGGGTGGATGACTCTGCCATGGTCAGGCTGGAGTACAAGATGTTCGCTGCACGAAACAAAATAAATAAGAACACGTAGCACGTGAGTTACGTGCGAGGGCCGCTACACATGGCACTTGTGAAGGTATAGGTAGTCTGCATGTGCCACTCACAACACTCACGACACGCACACGTGCTGCTCACGACACTCACACGTGCTGCTCACGACACTCACACGTGCTACTCACGATACTCACACGTGCTACTCACGACACTCACAAGCGCACTCACACGTGCTGCTCACGACACTCACAAGCGCACTCACACGTGCTACTCACGACACTCACACGTGCTACTCACGACACTCACACGTGCTACTCACGACACTCACACGTGCTACTCACGATACTCACACGGGCTACTCACGACACTCACAAGCGTACTCTCACACGTGCTACTCACGATACTCACAAGCGCACTCACGATATTCACATGCAGCACTCACAACGGCCACTCACACGAGTAGATGAGTGCAGGGAAGATAGGTTCGTTGCGCTCCTGCGCCGTCTCCACCAGGATGCGCAGGGGCCCCTTGGGGCACAGCACCGCCACCAGGTCTGCGAGACAACAAATAATTAATATAAAAATATATCTCACACATATAACAGGTAATTAATTGAGCCTTACTCACACCTCACCAAAACCATCAACAGCAACGTCACCTCCATAACCACCATCCGGCACTTGCAGCAACGCGACCATCAAAGATCCCCACACAGCGTACTCACTAACTCACCCCACACGGCCAGCACCACCCACACGGTGTACTCACCCCACACGGAGATGACGGCCAGCACCACCCACACGGTGTACTCACCCCACACGGAGATGACGGCCAGCACCACCCACACGGTGTACTCAGGAAGATACTTGATGAACATGAGTGACATGAGTGACGCCACGAAGATGAGGTACGCCTGCTGCAGGCGCAGCGGTCCCTGCCAGTGGATGCACACCATGCCTGCGCAAGACAATATCAACACTAGTTTCCATTACATATTAAGAAAAAAAGTCGCCTCATTGCCTTTAAAGTGAATTTTCTTCATGATAAACCAAGCTTTACACTTTCGAAATTTAACCAATACAGAGCACTGAACTTGCTATGAATAGCGCGACAAAAAAATATTTACTTCTGAACACCACATCTGGACTCAAACCAGCACCCCTACATTGGAACTCACCCATCACCTGCGGCACTCACCCATCACCTGCAGCACTCACCCATCACCTGCAGCACTCACCCATCACCTGCAGCACTCACTCATCACCTGCAGCACTCACCATCACCTGCATCACAAACCCATCACCCACTTCCCTCACCCATCACCCCGAAGTTCCAGACGATGAGGGACACGGTTATCCAGTCCAAGCCGATGTTGTAGCCGCGGAGCAGCTCCCTGGCAGCCAAAACACATGAATTATTAAACCTCAAACATACAATGTTCAAACATGTTGATTAATACATGACTAATAATATTAGTATAAGATAGCAGAATATATATATTTACACACGTGCGATTGATGACCAGAGAATTCGTTGGTTTATATTATCAGGGAGTGGAACTTTTCTTCAGATGACGGTAGAGCAGCGTGCAGCATGACTCACATGACCGTCATCTGAAGAAAAGTTCCACTCCCTGATAATATAAACCAACGAATTCTCTGGTCATCAATCGCACGTGTGTAGACTAATAATATGTACATCATTTCATATTTGCTGCTCAATCAAAGCTAGGTATTCAGTCCTGCTAGAGTGATAAAATTCTGGCCAGAACCAGCAGTGCAGCCCGCAGCATGATTCACATGAGGTAGAGCAGCGTGCAGCATGACTCCCATGAGGTAGAGCAGCGTGCAGCATGACTCACATGAGGTAGAGCAGCGTGCAGCATGACTCACATGAGGTAGAGCATTGGTGCAGGGACTGCTGGTGCAGGGACTGCTGGTGCAGGGACTGCTGGTGCAGGGACAGCTGGTGCAGGGACAGCTGGTGCAGGGACAGCTGGTGACGTGATACGGGCATTAATAACTACGTTGTCATGCTAAAGCTGCATTGAATTCTGGGGCATGAACCCGCCCCTCACCTGCCGACTGACAAACTTGGTGAGTCACGCACATGTTGTGCGTGATTCACTCCCGCCACACGCATGCTGTGGTTGAGGGGATGTAGGCTGCACTGTTAGCTGTACCAAGAGTGTAATGAGCGTTGGTGTTGCCAGGCTGTGCTTGCTGTGCGTGGGGCTGGCAGGCAGCCACACTGTGCACCTGGGGAGGACCTGCCCAGAAGTCGAGCCCTTCCCGAACCTGGCCATTGATAAGGTGGGTGTCTTGGGGAGTGTGGTGTCCTGAGGTGTGTGGTCTAGGGAGTGTGGTGTCCTGGGGAGTGTGATGTTCTAGGGAGTGTGGTGTCCTGGGGAGTGTGGTGTCCTGAGGTGTTTGGTGTTCTAGGGAGTGTGGTGTCCTGGGGAGTGTGGTGTTCTAGGGAGTGTGGTGTCTTGGGGAGTGTGGTGTCCTGAGGTGTGTGGTGTTCTAGGGAGTGTGGTGTCCTGGGGAGTGTGGTGTTCTAGGGAGTGTGGTGTCCTGGGGTGTGTGGTGTCCCTGGGGTGTGGGAGGGGCAGATGTAATTTTCCACTGCCACCCTCCAGTCGCGGGATGACCAAGGCGGTGCACCAGCATGGTCGCGACCTCGTCCCCATGTACACATGGGGCCTAAAGCTGTCTTTGGTGTGGTCGCGGTCGGGTTGTGTGTGTTTACATCACCTGTTGGTATGTCTTGGTTGTACACGCTGTACCTGCAGGTACTGGGCGTGTGGTACGTCGTGTACCAGTTCGACACGCGGAACACGTGCTCCCTAACACGCTGTACCTGCAGGTACTGGACGTGTGGTACGTCGTGTACCAGTTCGACACGCGGAACACGTGCTCCCTAACACGCTGTACCTGCAGGTACTGGCGTGTGGTACGTCGTGTACCAGTTCGACATGCGCAATATGTGCTCCGTATGGAACGTAACACGACTGGCTGACGAGCGTCTGGCCATCACAGAGACGCGGCAGTTGTGGCTGCTGGACGCCGTCAGCCTCGACCACCAGCACCTTGTCACTGCCACCCTCGACATCCCCAACCCTGAGGTCCCCGCCAGGATGAGGATCTGCTGGCCCACCTGTGAGTAACCAACCCACAATGTCTATTCAACCCACTAACCATTGCTAGCCCAAGTGTTTGGGACGTAGTAGTCCCAGGCTACACTGGAGGCCTCTGTTCCTGCAGGCAAGTCGGCAGAGGGCCAGGAGGCCAGTCCATCACTACCGTTCATTGCCCTCAGTAGGGCCAGCTGATGCCCTCAGTTGATGCCAGATGCTGTTGCTTGCTTCTTACCGCTGGTAGTGATGCGGACGATCAGGGATTGTGCTCAGGAACACGTCGTCGTCTCTTGAAGGTCTCTAGCATCTCAGCTGAGGAAATTTTAACGTACCGCAGAAGTGCAACCTTATAGACGAGGGTGACTCACTGACTGACTGCACGTGTTTGACTCGAGCGATAGTCGTGCTTTCAACCAAGCTTCTGATGCATGCCTTACCGACGAGCGATACCCCGACATGGCTGATGCATTATTAACGGAACACCCTGGGCTGTTCTATACAAACTTGCTCAAGTAAACTTAGCTGTCTAATTACCCATAGCGGCTGATTACTCTTGAAAACCATCTCAAGTCTAATTGCGGGTTGTTTTTAGCGTTTGTCCTCCGTGTTACACCTTACGACCTCTAGTATAACGTATATCGCCTGGCAGTTTTATTCCTACGACGCACGGCTGTGCACGTTGCCTCGACCGTTGCCGTGTTGGTGTTCCGGGTGAGACTCTCCTAGAAGACCACGTTACCAATGACAGAATATCATGTTATTTTCATTGCGAAAATATTTAGAATACGGAATATTAATTCAGAATACGAAAATATTTTGCACGGAAGTCTGAGACAGGCGTTATCACTCAGTGTCAGGCGACATGCGAAGTCAGCCAACGTACTCCACTGACTGAATCAGTCACTGACTTGATAGTTCGCTGCCTGCACTGATACACCAGTCCCTTACAGTCTCGTCTCCCCGTCCACAGCGCTGACAGGCAAGGCAAACTTCACGGTCTTCGACACGGACTACACGAACTACATGGCGGCGCTGGAGTGCGACAGAGCGGGGCTTCTGCACGTGGGTGCTGGACAGGGTGGGGGCTGTCAAGTGGACAGGGTGGGTGCTGTCACGTGGACAGGGTGGGTGCTGTCACGTGGACAGGGTGGGGGCTGTCACGTGGACAGGGTGGGTGCTGTCACGTGTTGAGGGACATGGGGTCCTGTGAGGGACATGAGGTCCTGTGAGGGACATGGGGTCCTGTGAGGGACATGGGGTCCTGTGAGGGACATGGGGTCCTGTGAGGGACATGAGGTCCTGTGAGGGACATGAGGTCCTGTGAGGGACATGTGTTCATTGTCATCATCGCCTCCTCTATACATCACCACGCCATTACCTCCTGCCCCTCCACATCACCACCGCCACATCACCACCACACAAATTATACAAGTCAGGCTCGTGGATGACTACGAGCGCAGCATTCAAATCTTCCCTTGCATATTTCAAGTTCTAATTTGCTGCTGAAGTTTAATTAACGCACCGACTGAATGATTCAGAACTCGGAAGGACTCGGTTTAGTTCCACGTATAGAGCTGCTATCCTAAGTAGTCTTTCTTGTTTGCTTCGGTGATCCTTAATATAGATAATATAGATTTAAAACAGCCATATTGGGCAATACACATATTCAGAATTGAAATGCCTAGCACCAAATCGAACCCGGTGGAAGTCTAGTAGCTACTTCAAACTATCGTCAGTCCTGAAAAGATCCGGTCAAATGACATGATTTTAGATCTTCTGTGAACAAGTCACGAAAATTAAATGAATCGGCGACAGGCCTACTCTTTAGCGCCGACATCACTATGTTATGTTAATACCAAATTTAAGTACAAAATACCATACAAATACATGTTGGTTCACTCTCGCGGCTCCGGATCACGAAAAATAACTGGATTATTGCTGTGACAAGAGCTACTTTGGGTAATGAGAATCGTCACAGGCCATTAATATTATTGTTCTCCTAAATCTGACGTTAGGTCGCGTCTGATTGGACAGTTTTTATGACGTCTCCACCTATTCTGTGGTTGGCTTACAGTCTCTGACGTCAGCCGCTGGATGTGGGAGCTTCTTCGAGTGGAGCGCCCCTTCTCACCGGGGTGTCTCTGCGCAGTGGCGGCACCCGTCGGAAGAAGCGTGCGACCTTCGACGGCCAAACTCCCCGACCTCAACCCCACCCCGGGCCCTGGCCCGGGGTACCTTGCGTCCTGGGCGGCGCCGCCGGCGGGGGATTCGTCCCTCGTTTTTTCGTGGTAGGAGGTGCAACTGCTGCTGTTTTGCGAGATTTTAGCCACATTAGTTTGTTAACATAGCTTGTAGATTTCTACTTCCTTCCAGCCCCGTCAGATAATCATCGTTATTAAAATCTACATTGCACCAGAATATCATACATTTATTCCTTGTAAATAGCACGTTGTACACTGTCCTATTGTCTTGATATGTCATCCATTGTGTCATTCTGCCCGCAACTGTCGTTATATGTCCGCCATTATCCGATGAAAATAAATTGGCCTTATGTTTGGCAGTGTGAGTCAGTCACCGGTCCAAGGTCTGCGAAACACGCGACATTTTCTGCTTAAAATGTTCTCCGTCCCACGAACCACTTATTCGTATCCTTCTTGCGTGCGTATAAATACAGCCGCACACGCAACGCGCAGTCAGTCGGCAACTGCTTTCGCTAGGTGTAGGTGTCGTGTGTACTGGTGCAAAGTTATCGTAAAACTCATTTCCTGATCAGCTGGCTGACCCTTGACAGTTATCACGATGGAGCTCAAAATAACATTGTAAGTACCATTAGAGTTTCTTTCACTATGAATCAATAGACGACCATAGAATCTTCGGATTGTTGAAAGTTTTCATTAGTTTCTAATTACTAAATCGATATAGTCAATCGAATGTACGCTGAAAGCTATCGATGGCATTGCATGGCTGCGCCCGCCGCTGCTGCTTTGTGTTTGCCCAGCTGTGCTGTACGCAAGAAGCCGCATAATTGAAGATTATAATGTGCACACATTTAATATATATATGTATGTGCACGGTGCACGACTCAAGCAAGCTAAGACTTGATAAACAATATCTGGTGAGTCATAGCGAAATGAACAGCGGTGCATTAACACATTGAATGGCTCAACGAGTACTCGAGTAGTGCCCTCGCGGCTTCGCCGAGCGCAGGTGTAGAGCCGCCTGACGCCTGCCCACTGTGGTGCTGCTGGTGTTGTCAG